TTCTATTACCAGCCTCCAAGCCCAGCATTGACCCCAATGCCGAGTCTCTCTGCCCTTTCTCCGAACGGGGTCAATCCTGTCATCAGTGCGATCCCTGCACCAGAAAAGGCGGTGACAGACAGCAGTGCTATAGGCATTGGGCAACCTCAGGTATTCGTTATTCAACTTCGTGCTATTCGCTGCGTACTCGATGCGGGTTTTTATTTTAGAGTGGATTGGTGGTATGAGTGTGGTGGAGGGAAAAGTGTAATCGAGCTGAAGTCTGTGTATCCTGCGGAAATGCTCAAGCTGGAGCAGCAATGGAAGCTTGTCGCTACGTGTATGTTTATCTTTCTTTACTTATAGATACATTGTGCTGATGCAGTATCATTCGGATACTCATCGTTGCCACGAAACCATCCTGTGTCTCCTGTCTCACCATCCCCTAACCAAATCTTGGTACACATTTGGCGGACGTACCTATGGATAGGTGTCGTACCGTAAGCTCGATTTCCAGCCTGCGGCCCTGTTTGCGTTAGGATCTCCCATAGGAATGTTTCTGACTGTGAGAGGGGTGGAGCCGCTAGGACCAGACTTTAAGTTGCCCACGTGCGATGAGTTCTACAACATATTCCATCCGTACGATCCCGTGGCCTTCCGCATAGAACCACTTTTGGGTGTGTTGACTATATGAATCTCTTTGTTGGATTATTTACATGTTCGCACACCAACTGGGTCTGAGGACTATGCAGTCGACATCGACATAACGTATTGCATTATTATTCCCATGTACAATAGCGAGCTTCTCGAGACCGTTCTATACTGTAGTGTATGTTTGTAACCGACTCATTGCCTGAGTGGGGTGTCCGTGTACTGGATCTTCTCTTGCCCTCCCCAATAATTTCTGTACTCGTGAGCTTTATTATGTTATTATCTATATACCGTGGTGATGGGCTCACTTCGTTTTTCTCTCGTATACGGCCATTGGTTAGTCTCAGAAACACAAGAGTACTATCCATCGTACAATTGCGGCGACTTTCACTCATCTATGTGCACGTCCATGTCTTAGATGCCAACATGGCCAATGTCCAACCTTGTGAGATTCAGAGCCACACTGGGAGGAAAAAGCTGCATGTTGAATTGAAAAATCTCGGAACCAGCATTTTTTCTACGGTATGTGCTTTGGGGTTCGGTTAAATTGCCACATTGTAAGTAAGACCATTCAAATCTTAGACATACAATCGATAGCTCAGCCGGATACCGTGTACGTAAATTAATTGGTCATGCACGCGCTCATCTGGACTGTATCACAATCCTCCCTGTGAACTGCAGGTTCAGGTGTCTGTGTTCATGACGGCCGTATAGTTGTGGATGTTATGTGAATAAGCTCTAGGTGAATCCCATTGATTGGTGTCGTATACTAACATCTATTGTTTGATTCATACTCTACAGGTTAAATCGTCCTGGTCATCATGGGGTAGTTGGGGCGGCGCTGGACAATCGCAGGATCCCGCGCCCGAGAAGTCGCAACCTTCTGGAAGCAATCCGAGCAGGAAAAAATTAGGTGAGAAAATGCTCTGCGATGCACCACAATGGCGCATGTCTGAGAGTTTTTATTGTTTTGTGTTTGTATTTTTATGTCGAAAGCACAAGTACGCGACTATAATTATCTTGCGAAGTATCATGATCAATCGTGTATACCTACCTACCCAGTTTCTTCGCATCGCTTCGCAGATTATATTTTACGTATTATAAGGTGAGGTAATATAACGCAGTCCATGGCTGATTTATTAGTAGCCTAGTATCATTCTCCAAAGAAGTTGGGAGTGGCATCGTATATAAATCTCTCTCCCCAATCCTCACCAATACTTCAGATAATAAAGTAATGAAGAATGAACCTGACCCATACTATGAGGGCTGGACGGGTTCAAAAGCGCCAGCGATTAATAAGGGGCAACGAGTGGATTACGCCTTGCAATGCGGACTTTTAGAGAGTATGAATGAGTACATGTTTGCTATCACGTCTCATTTGGTCTATTGGGAAAACCTAGACACAGCGGCGCTGTTATTGAAGGACGCTAAAGAAGCGAGGCAACGATAGTCAGTAAACCAATAAAAATATTATCTAAAGAATTTATTGTACTCGCTTTAGTGGTGGATTCAATTGATATAAGTGGGATGTGACGCTATTGATGTACAATCCCGCTAGATGTTCGGTACGGGCCCGTGTGTGGTCAGGTGGTAGCCTTCAATTGCATAGCGGCCGAAGCGTTCGGTTCGCATGTCGGTACGTTGAAGGGCTCGAACGTTAGCAGTTACATAATAGAGGCCTCCTTCAGTTGCTCTGTCGTGCTCTGAGTGCTGCCATATAGTGCCCTCGTTCTGAATTTAACCCATCGTTCACAGAAGGGGGCCTCGTAGGTTGCCTGAGGGCCGTAACTTTAGCCAGGACTATTCAATCTTGTACAAAGAACGTGTTTGAGCGTTACTATCTGTACTCCTGGTATCTCTCGATCCTACCTGTATAACTGATTGTGCTTTTTATCAAACTAGTTTGGGATCATTTGTGTGATCATTTTTGTGCGTGCTTGTGTCCCCTTTTGCAGCCGTTTGCGATGTATCTACTAGAGGTTGAAAGAAACTGCACAGTTTGGCTAACATTATTCCTGGGGTTAGCGCTACAATGAGATGGCAAGTAGGTCAAGGAAGAATCTACTCGTTTTGTTCACCTAAAACGTAAAAAACTGAGGAATTTAGGTTCATAAATACCAGAACGGAGAACTGAGTAGAATTTGTTTATTGTATTTACTTTCAAAAAACTAAATATCACACAAGAAGCATGCGCCCCACAACAGTTGTCCGGTCGCACCTGCAACCAGTTGTCTGGACTGGTCGAGCACCTGTTCACCCTGGAATGTAAGTTGTTGCTGTACGGGCATCAACATTGTGACATTGCCTAAGACTTTTCACACGTACATAGTTGAATTCTTATGCACATCTAGACTTTTCACGAGTACATAGTTGAATTCTTATGCACGCTACCATGGTCCCCATGTATCATTCACTATTATCGCCGAGACAGCTTTTGTATCAGTCCTCATCGCCCGCCCTCCATAGCAACACGTTTCTTGTTTTTCAATTCAGAAAAATGAAGGTTACGGTCTTATAAACCCGACAAACGCAACCATACTATTTATTGTCAAATACGGGAATTTTATATGTACGAGTACCCGCATGAAACAGACTTTTGCACCAGATCTGATCAAACTGGACCAAAATTTGGAATTCTCGTAGCAACATTTAAAAGCGGACACAAACGTACGTGAAAATCGTGTGATTTTAAAAAACGACATTCAAATCATAGCTCACGATCCATTCCGTGCAGGAAACATAGCACAATAGTATCAATAGGGGCACCATATGTAATTAAATAGTGTATACTCCAATGTATTAACCATTTGGTTTTATTCCTCATCACAACTTTTCAAAGCATACTATGCGTGTGTGTGAGTTGTGTGGGCTGGTGTCAGACAGGCCAATTCAGGTCGATATTCTTCCACGTACATAGCCTTCGGTATTGCACTCGACAGGAATGCGTCTATGATGAACCAGATACCTGGATATAAGCGAATACAAAGCAGGTTACCATCAGCCAGTATATTCTTACATTAAATCCGTACTAATGCCATACACGCACACACAAGTGCGCAAAGTGTATTTAGATTGAAATCTTACGGTAAGCCATGTGCATTGAACAAAACCACAATCCAGTCCGCGCACACACAACGAAGTTTTACTCACCGCTTTGACGAAGTTCATGGATCCTGAGGCTAGGCCAACCTTATTAGCCACATTCTCCTCGGTAATCTCGCTCACTTCACATACCCCTTCCATTGATACGTGGAATGGCTGAAAGACTGAGTGCACAGCTCCCTTGTGGACGCTATCGACGAGGAGAAGAATGCGATCAGTGAAGAACGATAATATTTAGGACTCACGCGAAGAAAATTTGTGTGCAAGCCATCCATTTCTAATAATTTTATAACTGCATATACTAGTACTACCTGATAGACAATCCCGGAAGCTCACAAAGTGACATCCAGTTCATATCTACGACACATTACAAAGTGGGTAAAATAACATAAGTGATTCATGGATTCACTCATTTATGGTAAAAATAAGGTGTAAAGCAATACATAGCTTACCTGGTACGAGCTTTGAGCATGGCACCGACCTCAGGACCAATCCATTGTAGATAAACAAACTTGACAGTCTTAATGCCTTCGTACACGTCTTGTACACGCGCGAAAGCGTACATGACCATACTGCCATCCAACTTAGAGGCCATCTCATCGACACCCCCAGTACCCTTCGCAACCACAACGACAGGTTTGCGCGCATCGTTACCGGAGTAGGCAGCAACAACCCTGTTGGCGACAGTGCATATCACATGAAAATCAGCCCCATTTTGACCCAAGATCGTAAACACACAAGGAGTATAGGCCTGTTCTTTGGTCAGACATAGCTGGCATCGACAGATAGTTTGCACGTAGTGCGCCAACTTTGTTCAGTCTGATGAAGTCAAACGCTTCATACACTGCTAGCAGAACTATCTAATACAAAAAGCTCAGCCGAAACACAATGCGCTTGAGGGGGGAACACTCACAAACAGGCAGGAACAGACTCGTATGCCTTTCGAACTTATTTAACACATGGCACATACTATGTGCCGAGACCTTGAGACCTTACGTAACACATCATTCAGTTTCTTTGCATAACACATATCATTCAGTTTCTTTGCATAACACATACCATTTAGTTTCCCTAAAAAACACATACCATTTAGTCTCGTGATCGTCCTTACGGATGTCAGCGATAGTCTGCTTGAGTTCACTGTCGAACTTCACATCACCGTTAGCGGCGGCATTGTTCGCCACCTGGTGGTCTCCTGAGAGTTGCGTTTTGTACGAGCCTTTGGCTTGGACGGACTTGGCAATTCCTGTGAAGGTCCGCTCTTGTCTACCCTCGGTGGACTCGAGGACTCGATCGATATTGCCCCTGAGATTCGTATATGTCGAAGCGGTTAGTTTTGATGAATATTTGAAGACAATTTCGGCCACAAATTTAGAACTCAATGGCTTCAGATTGATACTTTCACAGCTTGATATATAGTTGTTTCAACAATTCGTTTACATCCTAGAGAGATTTGAACACACAGGTAAGATATCGATACTCATGGGATGAGAGCGGCAGGAGGCACATGGTATGTCATAATAGGCGGTGTATGTTCTTAACATTAGCGTAAGTGGATTTAGTGCCACTGTATTTGACGAGCCGGTTCCCTAACCCATCTACGAACATTTCAAAAAAAAAATTTAAACCGAAAGAGAAATAGACACCTATTACATACTTGGTTTGCAAATCTTTTCCAGTCAAGTCATCTCTGTCGGTCAAACCAACGATATCGACGTGAGCCGGCGAGAAGTATCTGTCCGTAATATCGCCTCGCACTATGGCATACCTGCCCTTCTTGACGAAGCCCATACCAGGGCCTTCCCAGTGTACGTACACGAATTTGGTGGTTTTGATCATCTCTACCATCTCTTCAAATCGAACTATATGTGATGTTTTGTGTCTTGAGATGAGTATTTATGCACTGTAAAATCAAATATAGAGAGGAAGATAGTAACCTGAAGAGTGGTAGGTGATAGTTAAACAATCACAAAACCCGTGTTTGACATATCTATTACGTGTTCGAACTCATACAATGGAGGTTCGTATTGGATTAGACCATTATCTCCGCAAATCCACAAATAACACAATCTTGCAGGGAGCTCCTTCCTTTTCATATTGGCAACAATTTTTATTAATATATGTACAAAAATCTATATCTCAAACAGGGTAATTGTATTCGCATCTCATTATACAATTTCTGATTGAAGCACCTCGGAGGAATGTACGTTAAAAATATGTATATATGTCGATATATATATATATATATAGATATATCGTATTTAAGTATACAAGAAAAATATAAACACACATAAACATATTCTTATCAGTAGTATATGGGTATATATATATATACATACATACACATACACACACACACACATACATACATACATACCTACATATATACATACATACATACATACATATATATATATATATATATATTTATATATATGAAGATGAACTTATACGAATGCAATATTGTGTCACAATTTGTATCACATACGATGCCAAAGGAACCACATACCTAGACCGAAGCAGACGTTATCGTCTTGTAAGGCCTGTTTCATAGCCTCTAGGCCACCACTACCCGATGCTACTAGCTGTATTTCAGTGGGACTACTAGTATGGCCTGCAACTACCCAGTCAATAGGACTCGCGTCCTCTCGAACTGCCCGGATAGCACTGAGAAGCTCAGCTTCGTTCTTCACACTAACGGTCGTCATCGTTAACGTTCGAGGGTTGCTTGTAAGTCTATATAGAGGAGTGCGAGTCTGGGCTAGGATTTGTGCGACAGACGATACTTATCCCACCCAACGATTGAGACCAACACGATCGGCTATCATCAGTATCGTAGGGTTCAAAACTTCAAGGAGATCTCTTAAGCTCCAGACCTTTAGTAAAGCACTGCAATTTTATTCACTACAATGAGTCAATGACTCTCTCTCTCTCTCTCTCCCTCTCTTAGGTTGACAGTCTTGACTACTGCATATTCTCACAAAGCTCATGAGTCAGGGCTGCTCTCCGGGGACACGTAGTAGTGGCCGTGGTCGGGTGTCCATGGGAATTCTGAATTCGGATTGAACGATAGGGATGGCTTCCAATTGCCAATTTATATTCCGTTTGTGAATTGCTTTTTCTACTCTATTTTGTGGTTAAAAAAACAAACAAAAAAAAACAACCACAATAAAAGCAATTCTTTACACCAACCAATGCGTCAAGGCGTCATTCGTCGTATCAAAATCATGATCCCAATTCTTTCCAGCGACGGCCGACGAAGGCACTGTAGCTTTGGGGTTTGTTATTTCTTTTTCTTCAATAATTGTACAAATGTATAGAGTCTTAACTCATATATTTACATTACCACCGGGTTCAAATCAGGCACAATATAGAGCATAGACAGTCTCGTGTAGATAAAGATATGGATATAGACGTTGATATTTTAGTTACACTTTATATAGTTATACTTGTATTTATATTTGTACTTCTACATACATATACATAT